TCCTGAAGACTTCCATTGCATCGACTGGCGCTTACTTTGTGAGTCATAGGTAAAAATACATGTCTCATAACATGTTACAATAGATTTCAACAAATTTTACAAGAAACTTGATGTTTATTCGCTGTTCGGTTTTTACGTTAGACATTTTTCCGGCAGAATGCAGTTGCACGTGTTCACTAAATAACGCAATATTTCCAAATGGTATGACCGATTCAATCGAAATTGGCAACATGGATAGAGGAGGTATGTGGGATGATGCCACAAAAATAATTGCTGCTAATTCCATTGTTTTTTCAAGTTACAGACCTAGTCTCGTTACTTTTGTGTCACACCTCGTAAATCTTAAATTTTTCTTTGTGATTTTATGTGAATGGGCCAGATATCAGAAGTACTCATCCGCCACTGTATGCGTTTTGAGTTCCTCAAGAGTACAGTTGCTACTAAAAACATTTGTGATGTTCATCCAAGTGTATTGGTTAATGCCAAAGGTTTTCCATTTATTACGATCGCAATACTTTCCAGTGACAGAAAATTTGAAAATTTGTATGACATCCAAAATGCCGTCTCCAGTTATTTTGCTTGAAAACCAATTGATTTTTATTGATCATTGAAAATTTGCACAGTGGATCGCAAAAGGTAACGAGGATGATTACATTGTTCGTTAAAAATAAAAACTTGTTAAAAATGTACTTGAATTTAAGATAAAAAGACGATATTACTATTCCCTATTATTTTAACAAGAAATTCATCTCGATCGACGCCTGCACTAAGTTTGTATCCATGAAAGGAGATTTCGAGATTCGATGTCGAAGGACCTTCATTCAGCAACTGGTGGAAACTCAATGTGTTCGAGAAGTGTTTTGAAACAGGTCCCCTGATATTATAAAAATAGTTGACAAAATTTGTTAGAAATAGTACCATTTATTTTTCAACTAGCTCAAATAGTTGAGGTACCAATCAACATGTTATTAATGAACAATCCCTCATCCGATTTGTTGTTGTTCATTCAGTTTATTGAATTATTCTTGTTACAGCTGCGAGAAGACTTCGACTGCGGTCGTGAGACGAAAATCGGTCCCGATCAGTGTCCCCACGACGTAGCAGCTCTGTTGAAGGAGTTTTTTCGGGATTTGCCCGACCCTTTGCTCTGCAGGGATTTGTACCAAGCCTTCGTCCACACGCAAAGTAAGGCCAAAGCTGAAAATCACGATCAACCGAAATAAGCCGCTTAAGTTAAGAAGGTTATGCAGCTCGATTCTGAGCTTGATTAATATTCGCACCTTGAAACGATCGGGTTGAGGATTCGCTGTTACTGTCGCTGCGACGAGATTATTCGTTGTATAAATAAATGGACGGTTGTCTGTGCTCAAAATAGCAGTGATAATCTCGCGGTAATCATATTGCAAGCTCAGTTTCTAAACTAGCGATGAGTTTAAAGCGCGAGCAATTGTTTCCAGGATAAATACGAAGTTCCATTTTCGTGGAAATCGTTTTCTGTCTGAAATACCCCTGGTTCGGGAAAGTTTCGGATTTTGGAGTTTATAAACTCGGAGGTGATTTGATCGGATTAAAATTGTTGTTTTATATAATTTGTGTTGTAGAAATAATTCAAGAAGTTTAAATACAATATTTTTGGATATTTCTATTTTCAAACTATATCGGTTATTTTTATTTTTAAAGCTATAATAAATGGTTAACTCTTTTAGATTAGTCTAGTTTGGTCAAATATTGCATTAATTTTATGATGTAGTCTGTAATACTATTTTTGAATAGCTTCGTTAATTTGTAATCATCTGATTGATCAAATTATAGCAATGGCTATAAGTAGTTTTGATGGAATTTAATGAATTTAAGGATTCTTGAATTTCATTGGAGGTTCTTCAATTTTAATAAACTTGAGATTTTTAAAATTTAATAAACTTAAATATCAGCAAATTGAATAAATTAAATGTTTCTCCATTTTAATAAATTTTGATGTTTGCCAAAATTGAATAAATTAAATTTTCCTCAATTTTAGTAAATTTTGATGTTTACCAAAATTGAATTAGTTTAATGTTTTTGAAATTTAACACTTTTAATGTCTATCAAATTTAATAGATTTAAAGTATCTCAAGTACAATAATGTTAAGGTTTATCAAAATTTAATGAATTTAAGTTTCCTCAAGTTTAACAAGCTTAAAGTTACTCCAAGTTTATCAAATTGATTAAATTAAATGTCTATCATATTCAATAATTTTTTAGTTTATCAAAATTTCATAAATTTAGAACATCTCAAGGTCAATAAATTTAAACTGTCACTTCATAAATAATTACAAAATTTTGTAACTTAGCTTTGATATTTCCACCTACTAGAAAGATAACCAGCGCTAATGGGTTCAAAGCTTCTCGGACAATACAATACGACACTTGTCCTCACGGCGCTATAATTTTACGATATATCACTTTCTATTGTGTACGAAAGAGTCCATAAAGACCCCAAAGTCCCTCCATCTTGGAGGAAGGATTTATATCTTCACGTTTATCTCTGAACAATCTTGAATTAACGAAGCATTTCAAAAGTAGCGTTCTAGTGATTGCATTATTAACACAATATGCCATTTCTACAAATTAAATAAATTAAATACAATTGTCGTATCTTTGAAACTTGCCAGTTTTAATATTTGATAGTACGGTATAGAATTGAAATTGTAAAATCAATTATTTACTCAGTTGAGGATCTCAAACGCGCATAGGTAATTCTATTTGATATCCTTTCGAGTAGTGATGGGTTGCGACCGCTCGCGATACTGTTCAAGCACGTTGTAGTTCACAAAGAAAGTTTAAAATACAAGTGATTTGAGAAGTATAATTTTATATAATTTTAAGGAATATAACTGTATTTTACTGAAGTAATCAATATTTCGATATGACAAGTATCATTCGTACAAAGTAGAAGAATAAAAAGAATAGAAGAAAATTGCCATAAAAAGAAGATTGTCTTGTGATCTTATAATGTACATCTGAAGCTGTGAAATTATCTTTGGTATCGATACCATATCTATATGTTGTTTATGTCTGTTTGTATACAGGGTGTCTCACAATTAGTGTAGGTCCCTGAAACGAGGGGTAGCTGACGTGAATCTGAATAAGATTTCCTTTTGCAAAAATGGGGTTTGAAACATCGTTTTTGAATTATTAAGGAAAAACACGGACCAATTAGAGTGCGAGGATTACGCATGCGCAGACGCGAGAGCGACAACTTCGGATAACGCGTAGTTATCCAACGCGTGATAATCCAACACGCAGTAATGCAACGCATGGTAATGCAACGCGTGATAATCCTACGCGTAGTAATCCAACGCGTAGTAATACAGCGCGTGGATATCCAACGCGTAGTAATCTAGCGCGTGCATATTCAACGCGTAGTAATTCAACGTGTAATAATGCAACGCGTGGTAATTCTAAGCGTAGGAATCTAATGCGTGGTAATCTAACATGTAGTAATCCAGCGTGTGAATATTCTACGCGTAGTAATCCAAAGCGTGGATATTCAACGCGTAGTAATCCAACGCGTAGTAATGCAACGCATCGTAATTCTAAGCGTAGGAATCTAACGCGTAGTTAACCAACGCGTAGTAAACCAACGCGTAATAATTCAACGCGTAATAATCTTAGCGCTCTGATCGTTCCGTATTTTCCCTTAACAATTCAAAAACGAAGCTTCATATCTCATTTTTGCAAAGGGAAATCTTATTCAGAATCACATCAACTACCCCCCATTTCAGGGACCTACACTAATTTTGAGACACCCTGTATATAATTATCTGTAAGTTAACATGTGTATGTATATATGTTAGTTAATATCGCTTGATCAGTATCACACGCAACCGCAACCCATCACTACTCCGTCGGACAAACCGATAGGTGCGTGTGTTCAAAGTAAATCGAAACCACTGTTAAATTGGACGCGATATACGGAATAAAAGGTAGAGAATACTCATTCGATGCAAGCGTGGATATTCAACGCGTAGTAATCCAACGCGTAGTAATGCAACGCATCGTAATTCTAAGCGTAGGAATCTAACGCGTAGTTAACCAACGCGTAGTAAACCAACGCGTAATAATTCAACGCGTAATAATCTTAGCGCTCTGATCGTTCCGTATTTTCCCTTAACAATTCAAAAACGAAGCTTCATATCTCATTTTTGCAAAGGGAAATCTTATTCAGAATCACATCAACTACCCCCCATTTCAGGGACCTACACTAATTTTGAGACACCCTGTATATAATTATCTGTAAGTTAACATGTGTATGTATATATGTTAGTTAATATCGCTTGATCAGTATCACACGCAACCGCAACCCATCACTACTCCGTCGGACAAACCGATAGGTGCGTGTGTTCAAAGTAAATCGAAACCACTGTTAAATTGGACGCGATATACGGAATAAAAGGTAGAGAATACTCATTCGATGCTCACCGTTCAGTTTCCCCTTGATGCTCTTTATCCGAACATTGACGTACGAGTGGCTGTTCGCATTGAAAGAGTGCCGTTTCTCGTGCAGAGATCCGGAACAGGCGACTTCAGCAAGAGGCTCTTCAGCATCTCATTCAGCTGCTGCCCACGCCAAATCGTGAGACGCTCTGGGCACTTCTGAACTTTCTCAGCGTGGTGGCGGCGAATAGCGAAGATCAAAAGAACGAAACTGGCGAGTGGGTACCGGGAAACAAAATGGACACGACCAACCTGGCAACAGTGAGTATTTTTCACTTTATCCGTTTCGGTATCATAAATAGATCAATTGGAATTTTCGAGCCGTTGGAGATTTTAATTAAAGAATACACTCGTGGGTGATTCCAGTTACACGAAAAATATTGCTCGCGTGGGATTCGCGTGGGATCGCGTTAATAGTCCGAACCTTTGTCTCATTTGTATTCTGTCGATATTCGAGTGCCATTTTTTATGGTGTTATGGCAGAATTTATTGCCACTTTTCTTTGGGGAAACTTCCGTGTGTTACGGTTCGAGAAATATAAGATCTTACAGGATACTACACTCTGTTAGGTACATATGTGTATATGTTCATACACACATATGTCATATTCGTCAAGGTTCAAGATGTCCATAATACCTTGTGAATGTTACTCAAAAATATTTGAACGTAAAACTTGAATTAGATACCCTGTATAACACACATGTGAGCACATCAAATATTTACGTGCCTCTTGTATACTATTATTCTTATATTGCTAGATTTATGTTCCTATTTCAACAACATTGTTACATTCCTTTGATACAGATACACATTCGCAACTATCGATTCAACGCGTCAATAGTATATACGTATTTTTTAAATAGAACAGTGAGTAATCGTTGTTATTAAATTCTCTTGTTCAAGGTATTCGCACCAAACATCCTCCACTGTGTGAAGCCCGGACAAAGGTCAGAGGTGTCGGCGGAAAGGGCGGAGGAGAGGATAGACGTAATAAATGTAGTGAGAGCACTTTTGGAGCACGCTTCCACATTATTTACAGTACCAGCCGCTCTTCTGGATGAAGTGTACCTGCACATGATGGACACACATCCGGTCGATTTAGATCTTGCCCTTTCTCGACGCGCTGAAGAGTAAGTAATTCGCTAACAGTAAGTGTTATTTCCGACCTTTGATTCGCTCGATCATTTAGTCCTTTAAATAGGACTCAGGAACTTTATCTTTCAGTAACCTCTTTGATGAGGAACAAAATTAGTAATTACGAATCATGACCTCGAGTTCAAATATAGTTACGGAAATATTGTAAATTGTTTCTTGAGAATTCAATATGTTTCTTGAGATATAAATTAATGAGGAATTTTATGAATTCTTTTGCAGGCAATGTGGTGATGAAGTGGATCCATGCAGCGAAGCTGAAACCTTCTCTGTTGAAGAAACGTTGACAACGTCGACGACGACCACGGCTGGCACCACTATGGCTACCAGAAAGGTAATATAGGTCAATGAAACTCCTTTAACAATATCATCTAACAATGTCACTTAATAACATCATTTAACAATGTCACTTAACAACATCATTTAACAATGTTACTTAACAAAATCATTCAACAATAGCACTTAACAAGTTCACTTAAAAATTTCATTTAACAATATCACTGAACAATATCATCTAAACAGTATCATCTATGAATAACATTTAGCAGTAGCACCTTACAGTACCATCTAGCAATGTCATCTAGTAATATCATCTAGCAATAACATTTGATAATATCATGTAACTACATCATTTAGCAATACTGTTTAGCAACATCATCCAAATAATATAACTTAACTGCGTCTTTTGATAGTATCACTTAACAATATTATTTAGCAAGGTTATTTAACAGTATCACTTAAGAACATCATCTAACAATATCATTTAACCATATCTTTTAACAGTATCATTTAACAATATTATTCAGCAAGTTCATTTAACAGTATCATTTCATAATATCATTTAATAGTTTCACTTAAGAACATCATCTAACAATATCACTTAACCATATCTTTTAACAGTATCATATAACAATATCATTCAGCAAGGTTATTTAACAGTATCATTTCATAATACCATTTAACAGTACCACTTAAGAACATCATTTCATAATATCATTTAACAGTTTCACTTAAGAACATCATGTAACAATATCACTTAACCACATCATTTAACAGCATCATTTAACAATATCATTTAGCAAAATCATTTAACAATATCATTTATCAAAATCACTTAACAATATCATTTAGTAAAATCATTTAACAATATCATTTAGCAAAATCATTTAGCAACGTCAATTAATAATATCATTTAGTAAAATCATTTAGCAGCATCATTTCATAATATCATTTAGCAAAATTATTTAGCAGCATCATTTCATAATATCATTAAACAGCATCATTTAACAAAATGTTTACAGGTGTGGACAAGAGAGCAATGTCTCCATCAAACAGCAGGAGTAGGCGGAGACATAGGTCCAAGGCCCAGACGGCCAAAAAGGCCAGGAAGTCGACGAAAAGAGGAAGGTAGAAGTAACAGCGTGGACAGCGGTTCTAGCGAAGATCCAGCTGATCCTCGAAGAAGATCTTCACCTATGGTAATCACCGCCAGTCTCACCATACCGATGTCCGGAGCGTTCACGTTGAACCTCGACGATCCGGACATTCCTTACATCGAAGAGGCACCTAAACAACCCAGTGCACCGCCCAGGAGGCAAAGGCAGCGATCGATTTCCGGTTGCAGCGAAGGTACGTCGGTTACATAGTAATGTAACGAACGCTAAGAGATTTAGGGATTTGGTAGTTTGTGAATTTGGAGGATTTATGGGAGGTTGGTGGTTGGGCAATGGGAATTTGTGCAAAGAGGAGTCTGTTTAATATTTGATGAAGTTGTAGGTTGTGGAATTTGGGGTTTAGCAAGTTGAGAATTTTAGAAGTTGTGGAAGATGATCTATTGTTTTGATACTTTGACAGTTTAGGATTTCAGAATTTAGGGATTTTGAAATTTGAAAATTTGGAAGTCTGATGCTTTAAAAGTGGGGGTTTATGAATCTAGGGGTCTTGGAATCTGAGAATTTGGGAGTTTAACAATTTGGGAATGGGGGATTGGGATTTGAAGATTTGGAAATTTGGGGAATTGAGAATTTGAAGACTTGGAAGTTTGGAGATTTGAGAATATGATGAGCTGGGAATTTTAGGACGCAAGAATTTGATGACTTGGGAATTTTGGAATGTAAGAATTCGATAACTTGAGAATTTTGAGACGTGAGAATTTGGTGACTTGGGAATTTCGGGACGTGGAAATTTCGGGACGTGAGAATTTGGTGACTTGAGAATTTCGGGACGTGAGAATTTTGGGACGTGGGAATTTTGGAACGTGAGAATTTCGGGACGTGAGAATTTTGGGACGCAGGAATTTCGGGACGTGGGAATCTCGGGATGTGGGAATTTCGGGACGTGGGAATTTCGGGACGTGGGAATTGTGGAACATGAGAATTTAGGGACGTGAAAATTCGATGACATGTGAGTTTTGGGACGTGGGAATTTCGGGACCTGCGAATTTCGGGACGTGAAAATATGGTGACTTGGGAATTTCGGGACGTGGGAATTTTGGAACGTGGAAATTTTGGAGCCTGGGAATTTTGGGACGTGAGAATTTGTAAAGTTGATTCGCAAGATTTGGGAATTGGGAATTTGAGAATGAGGGTTTGGAACTTTGAAACTTGAAACTTAGAGATTTGAGAATTTCAGGACTTGGAAAGAAGATTTAAGAAATTAAGGATATGGAAATATGGTAACATGAAAATTTAAAAGTTTAAAGACATTCCCGTCAACTTCTACCAAATTTCACCAGTGTTAAACATACATCAAAACGCACCTCAAATACAAACAACCTCTTGTAATCCATTCTTCATTCAAAGTCAAATAAAACCCATAATACCAACTTGAAAATGAACAACGATGAATAAATCCAGATAAACGTCTGTTATCAGGTGGAAGGCACGGGAGTGACAGTGCCGTGGGTTCTTCAGCCACCTTATCGGGCGACCAAGCACCAAGTTCTCCTCCATCGTGGGCGTCCTCGCCTCCAGCTAGTCCAGACAGCGCGGTAACAGCTGTTTCATACATACCTGATCAACAAGCAGTTCTCCAGAGGGTTTCGTTCACTACTTCGAGCGAAGTTCGTCAGGTGACCAGGTCGAACAACCAGGAAACGTCGAGGAGTATGGCGGCGCCGTACACGCCGAGCATCACAAGCATCGGTGGTGCGGTTTTGAGGTGAGAATTCTGGGCTTCCGAACTATGCGAGCTTCCGTACGGCGCTGACAGGAATTGGCCGGTCAATCTCGATTCGTACTACTGTTCTGGTATTTGTGTACTGCATTTAGGACGATTCATTAACCTCGGGACACTGTACTAGATATCTGAAAGAGAATGTAAAGAAGTCGGAAAAATATGGCGGATGTAGGAAGTGATACATAAATTTTAAATTATTAAAACTTCGGGAGTTGTGGAAGTCGACCTTTATTTATAAATACTTCTTTGTTATAAATTATTCGATCATTTTATGTTCATATGCACAGCTCTTATTTTTCCAACATGGACATACAAAATTATATAAAATTATTCGAAGTTATAGTAGTCTTCAAATATTCCAATACTCTAGTTGGAAGATTTGTTAAAATTCAACAGAAGTTACAGTGTCTTCGATAAGGATTTCAAGTTTTGCAGAATAATTAAATGATTTTCTGTGAGAGCAAAAATGGTGTCAAGACTTATAATTTTACTGAAGTGTGTGCAAAGAAAAATAGGACATTCATTCAGAAGAGAATTGCGTTATACAAAATCAGTCTTAACAGATGTAGCCCTAACTGATACAACATTAACTGATATATCATTATGACGTGGGAATTTCGGGACGTGAGAATTTTGTGACTTGGGAATTGCGGGACGCGGGAATTTTGGGACGTGAGAATTCGGTGACTTGGGAATTTTGGAACGTGAGAATTCGGTGACTTGGAAATTTAGGAACGTGGGAATATCGGGACATCGGAATTTTGGGACGTGAGAATTTCAGGCCGTAGGAATTTCAGGACGTGGGAATTTCGGGACGTGGGAATTTCAGGACGTACGAATTTTGGAACGTGAGAATTTAGGGACGTGAGAGTTTGGTGACTTGGGAATTTTGGGACGTGGGAATTTCGGGACGTGAGAATTTTGGGACGTGAGAATTTCGGGACGTGGGAATTTCGGGACGTACGAATTTTGGAACGTGAGAATTTTGGAACGTGAGAATTTAGGGACGTGAGAGTTTGGTGACTTGGGAATTTTGGGACGTGGGAATTTCGGGACGTGAGAATTTTGGGACGTGAGAATTTCGGGACGTGGGAATTTCGGGACGTACGAATTTTGGGACGTGAGAGTTTGGTGACTTGGGAATTTTGGGACGTGGGAATTTCGGGACGTGGGAATTTTGGAACGCGGGAATTTGGGAACGTGGGAATTTCGGGACGAGAGAATTAGGTGACTTGGGAATTTCGGGACGTGAGAATCCGGTGACTTGGGAATTTGGGAACGTGGGAATTTCGGGACGAGAGAATTAGGTGACGTGGGAATTTCGGGACGAGAGAATTAGGTGACTTGGGAATTTCGGGACGTGAGAATTCGGTGACTTGGGAATTGTAAAACATGAGAATTTAGGGACGTGAGAATTCGGTGACTTAGAAATTTTAGGACGTGAGAATTTAGTAACATGAAAATTTGCATCATTATTATACATCATACATTTTGTTTTCAGGTCAAAGACCGCAGACATCGAAAGGATGCTACACATCTCCAGACCGGATCCCGGTATCTCGATGTCACAAAGCAAGAGCAGTTCGAACACCTCCTCCGAGAGTAAGAAATACACAAAGAGGCGTTACACGGACTCGAGGCATCAAACTCGCCACATCCCTGATTCCGAGACGTTGGCGGGTAAGGGTGCAATGACAGCGACAGTCTCGTCTTCCACCACGATGTCCTCTTCGTCTTCAGCGAGCAGCACGCCAAATCAGCGAGCTGGGGCACAGCCCGTTTGGAAACGACGGGAACTCATCTCCAGTGCGCCTAAGGACAGAGAGGGATACTTCTGAACGACGATCCCTGTCGACGATCGAAACGAATGTTCGGCCTTGAACTTCAATTTACATTAGGCCGTGCCGTCATCGTGCAAAAGGTGAAGGTTTTGAGGTAGAATTTGTATTGCAACGTATAGTATGCGTTAGACATATTAAAAATATATGTTATAACGTGTAACATGCGTTAACATATCAAGAGTATATGTTATAACGTATAATATGCGTTAGACATATTAAAAATATGTATTGCAACGTATAATATGCGTTATACATACTAAAAATATGCATTGTACATATTAAAAATATGTATTATGTATGTAAGTCTCAATACTGAAGTTGCAGAACCAAAACGGAAAGAGTGAAACACATACTTTGCCCGCGAAATTTAAACGTCTTAAAACAGAAGTTTGACAGTTATGTTAGAGTGAGACACTCTTTCATCATGTTGTCCTTCATTTAAATTAAATAGTGTAATAATTCGACCGCTTTTTCTAATATAATTATCGCTTTTACCATTTGTGATCATTTTGCGTTTGAATTTCGCGGGCGAAGAGTATGCTTGAGGTCGCCATTTTGATTACCGTAACTTCAAGACTTACGATCCTGTTTTTGAGAGAAATTAATGTGGAAACGGTGACGGCACGGTGTAGTATGAATTGAATTTAATTATGCTACATCTATTGAAAATAACTATGCTACGTCGATTGAAAACGAACCTTGATTGTGCTACGTAGATTAAGAAGGAACCTTGGTTGTGTTACGTAGATTGAAACGAAACCTTGATTGTGCTACGTAGATTGAAAAGGAACCTTGATTGCGCTACGTAGATTGAAAACAAACCATAATTACGTCGATTAAAAATAACAAACTAATTTAATAAACTCTAATAGTTACGTCTAGCTAGGATCAGCCGAATCTAGGGAATTAATGGCGGCGCAGTGGAAAAAGTGACGTCACGGTGAGTAACGTAGTACAAAGTAGTTGTAGAACATCTATGTATATTGCACATGTGCACAAGTTGTATGAATTTATATGTGCACATTGTAATTGCAATATATATGAATGGCGTCACTTTTTCCCTATATAACCGGATCTTTCGATCGTTTTATAGCAGTTCTTTTCAGGGTAACGAATGCGTTCCATGAGGAGCAGTTTTTGCATTTTGGGAAAAGGTTCGAATATGTATTTATAGAAAAAATTTTTTACAGCTTTTGTATACTTGTATCTGGTTTATTTAAAAGAGAACTGGGAATTATTGTTAGGGAATCTTAATGATTCAGGACTTGTTTGGAACGTGATTAAAATTCTTGAAAATAAAAACGAGTTGCATGAACATGTATGGTATTCATCAAAAAGTGCATTATAAACTTTAATTTAATAAAAGAGGCTTTTGCATGTAACTCGTTTTTGTTTATCAGGGTTCAATGTTATAACGCCTACAAATGATAGAATACTGCTATGAGACTGATGTTCAATACCACAAATATATAACAATTGAACAATTAAAAACTGGAAATAGAAAAAGCTTTTCAAATAGTACTAATGTGAACAAAAGTGAATACATAACGTGCCTTATATTGTCTCTTTTATAATGACATATGAAACATTAACGTTTAACACATTGATTAACATGATTAATTAAATGTGTAACACATTCAGATATTAAATGACTTTTCGTGAGCTGTTCTATGTACTGTGACTATTGTATAGGACGCACATGTGCGTTGTACGCACTCACACATTGTCTCGTAAGGAGTAGATTTATAGCAAGGTTTCATGGTCTTTAAGGTACATTTATATCGACGTAGACATAAACACATAGACATATGTGGGACGTATTTCAATATTGTGATTCCATATGGAAAATGACGTCTTATGTGGTAGCAAACGGGTTGATATCGAACGGGTTGATATTCAACAGATTGATATCGAGCGGTTTGATATCGAACGCGTTGATATCCAACAGATTGATATCGAGTGGATTGATATCCAACAAATTGATATTGAACGCGTTGATATAGAACGGATTGATATCGAGCGGGTTGATATCGAACGAGTTGATATCCAACAGATTGATATCGAGCGGGTTGATATCCAACAGATTGATATCGAATGCGTTGATATCCAACAGACTGATATCGAGCGGGTTGATATCGAACGCGCTGATATCCAACAGATTGATATCGAACGCGTTGATATCCAACTGATTGATATCGAACGCGTTGATATCCAACAGATTGATATCGAACGCGTTGATATCCGACAGATTGATATCGAACGCGTTGATATCCAACAGGTTGATATCCAACAGCTTGATATCCAACAGGTTGATATCCAACAGGTTGATATCCAACAGATTGATATCAAACAAATTAACATCAAGAAAAGTCCGAACATTCGAATCGATCGTTACAACGTCCACAAGAAAAAATAAACATAGTCACTGCCGTTCAGACGTAGCCTGGCAAAGTGTTCCTCGACACGTTTCTCGCTTTTAGCGAGAACTCGGTGTGCTCACATTTATTGTTAGTGAGCACTCGGTGTATCGTGGAGTGTCTATTGGTTCCTAGACTACCGTCCTCGCGCTCGCAAAGATCTCCATGATGAAATGTACGACTATCTATTTCATTATCTATCGTTATCTATTGTCTCACAAGATGAGGGTCGTAAATGATCCTCAAGAATTTCAATAAAATTTAACGCGGTAACTACGTGTGAAAGCGTATGTAGAATTTTATTCTTGAATAGTTTACTAATTTGTAGAAAAATGGATTTGAAGTTTCATATCACTAGGTATAAATATTACAAATTAATAAATATTACAAATTAATTACGATATTACAAAAGATGATTCAATAATGAATTATGGTGAAGTGGCTAACGCAAAATCTTTTTCAAATGTTTTATGTAGGGTTCGCATCCAGGTGAGGAAAATTTTTAACAGATAATGTGAAATTGCAATATAAAATTATTTTTACACATTTTGTTATAAATATTATTATTAATTTTTTATTTATAAACAGCACCTTTTACTATTCTTGATAAAGGTGTTTAATTCAAAATAAATACAAGGTAAATAAAAAATAATATATTTCTTATAAATATTTTTGTAGATATCTTTTATAAATATTTTATTTACTTCTTATTTGTTACTAAGCCTTCAAGTGTAATACTACTCTTTATGAAGGTGTTTAAATAAAAGGTACATGTCAAATAATATATTTCTTATAAATATTTTTGTAACTGTCTTTTATAAATACTTTTTATTTATTATTAATCAAACTGCTTATTTTGAAGAGTGTATTTTTTGTGGAAGTGAAAGGTAAAAAATATCTTTTATAAATACATTACTTATTATATAATCTAAAAATAACAAATTATAGTTAACATAAATTATTATACAAATTTAATACAAAATTTTAACAATTTATCTTTTACTTAGTACATAAATAAAATTGTATTTATTATTAATGAAACAACTCAAGGTACAGGGTGTTTGATAATTAGTGTAGGTTTCTGAAAGGGGTGGTAGAGGATGTAATTCTGAACAAGATTTTCCTTTGCAAAAATAGGGTTTGAAGCTTCGTTTTTGAATTATTAACAAAAGACGCCAACGAACGAGGTAGTGATGGGTTTGAGTGTGAGGGACTGTGGTCGTGAACAAGTGCGTTACTATCGTGATACAATCTTATTCAGAATCACATCAGAATATTTCCTCTGCATTAGCCACTATACCACAATTTTAAATTAATTCATGATTTATTAAATCTACTTACAGTGATAAGTCACAGAATATTCGAAATTTCTTCACAGTCTAAAAACTCAAATTCCATTTTTCTCACAGTTAATAAACAAACCGAGGTTAAAATTCACATACGTTTATTTCACCTAGATAAAATATCTTCGTTAAATTTCATCGAAGCTCGAAACTTCTTGTGAACCAAGCTTTCGCCTGGTTTCCGCTCGAGTATTAATCACCAGAGGCAGCTAGGTTTCTGCCCAGCGGTTTATTTATACAAAAAACGATAGAACATCGATCTGTATCTACGAATATAACATTCTAATGTAGTAGCGACTGGTTAGTAGCGATTTGTAAATTATTTTTATTACTTAAAATCAAGGGATTCGATGTACCGTTCGACGCAACATGGAGTCCCTTCGACGAGCCAAAGCCAAGAAAAGAAGACTAGTCTCGAGTCACTGTAACTCAAAATGTCGGGCCATTTTATCTCTCTCGATATTCATCGTGAATCGAATATTTTCTATAGTTACATTATAGCGTATTATCGATCTGGTAGTTTTGTGATCTAGCGACGAGAGGAGGCGAACTAATCGCGTCTCGTTACTTTCTTTATCTCTGTTCATTTTTCTGCTCGTTTATTTCTTCTTCGTATTGTTTCTTTTCACGTAATAATAACATGGCTGTTCGTCCACGGGAAAACGTAGCGAAATGAATCCGTGTACTGCCGGTGAGGGACGCGTGGCCCGAAAGACGCTGTTGTTCGTCGTTTAAGTTTTCATTTTCAGTCTGAAAGCCAATAAATGAAGGTTAATTTTTCTACCAACACCAGTACATTATTTTCCACTTCCATTTTTTTTTTTTGATAATGGACACGTAAGACTGTCCTACATACCTCTGTATTACGTTTTGTACCTACCTGTATATTAGTCGCAATTTTCGAAGTTATATTTTGACTGATGTTATTAGTTTAACATTTTGTTTTTAAATTATATTTCGCATATTTTTTAATATACATATAGATTTACGAATTTTATCATTTTTAAATATTGTTTGTGGGCACATTTATATTTATTACTTCCATGTTTCTATTTTGTATGGTTTTAAATTTTTGAATAACCAAATGCTAATCAACAAAGTGCTAATTTTCAGAATATACAGTATTCATAAATATCGTAGTTTGCAAATTCGAAAATTTTTTAATTTTTAAAAAGACAAATATTTCACTTGCAAATTTCGTAAATATATTTCTAGATGAAGATATTTCAAACTTTGCAAATTCCTAAATATACAAATTTTGTTTTCAGATTTCCAAATATGTAAATTTCTAAATAACGAAACGTTAGTTTCTAGATTAATTAAATTTCGTTAAAAATAATTCCATAAAAATTTAATCAAAGTTAGTTGAACTAGATTTAATTGCAATTTTGCTAGATTTAACTGAAATTAATTAAACTAGCTTTCATTGGGATTAATTAAACTAGCTTTAATTGAGATTAATTAAACTAGCTTTAATTGAGATTAATTAAACTAGATCTAATTGGAATTAATTAAACTAGATCTAATGGAAAAGTCAATTAAATTAGATTTAGTTGAAATTAAACTAGATTTAATTGCAATTAATTAAACTAGATTTAGTTAAAAATTAAATAATTTTAAACAAATACAGTTTATTTGAACTAGATGTAAATGAAATTAAACTTGATTTGACTAAAATGGAACTAGATTTCATTGAAATTATTTAAACTAGATTCAACAGAAATTAGACTTCATGTAACTAAAATGGAGGTAGATTTTAATTAAAATTATTTAAACTAGATTCAATTGAAATTAAACTTGACTTGACTGGAATTAAAGTAGGCTTAATCGATATTAAGCTTAATTTAACTAAAATGGAACTAGATTTAATTGAAATTATTTAAACTAGATTCAACAGAAATTAGACTTCATTTAACTAAAATGGAAGTAGATTTTAATTAAAATTATTTAAACTAGATTCAATTGAAATTAAACTTGACTTAACTGGAATTAAACTAGGCTTAATTGATATTAAGCTTGATTTAACTAAAATGGAACTAGATTTCATTGAAATTATTTAAATTAGACTCAAGAGAAATTAAACTTGATTTAAGTAAAATGGAAGCAGATTTTAATTAAAATTATTTAAACTAGATTCAATTGAAATTAAACTTGACTTAACTGGAATTAAACATGGTTCAATTGATATTAAGCTTGATTTGACTAAAATGGAACTAGACTTAATTAAAATTATTTAAATAAAATTTCAATTTCAATACAGAATTTTCCAATTTTTCTTTTGCATTTGCCGTCAAATGATATACTCTAGTATTCATTAGACTCAAAAGTACATTTAACTATATTATTCGACTACATTCTTGTTTTGCCTTCTATATACAGTATTTAACCTAATCTTCTATATACAAAATTTTATCTAATCATCTATATACAATATTTTACTGTAGACTTTTCTATTTTTCAATTTTACACTATTCTTTAATTTTATAAAATTTGTAGTGCATTTCATAAATTTTATTTAATACCTCTACTCTCATCAGCATTCAATATTACACAACTATAAAAGAATATATGCTACAAAAGATATATTTTTCATTAACGTACAACAATTATTACATAATCGTAGAAACAACGTTAAACACTTATGAAGAAGAAGAAGAAGAAGTGAAATGAGTTACAAAAGGAAACTAGGTGCAGTTGATCGTGAATCATAAAAATTTCTTTATTATCGATTTCCTCGCATACAATCCTCGCCACGCATTTAATTTTATAATGCTTGTTAAAAAATTCATCGAGACGCACGAATATCGCATAGAAAACACTATCGTTTACAATGAACATCAAAAAGGTGCGAGATATATGGATTTGACACGACGTGTGAATGCGATGTGAACATTGATCTGATTTGGTTTTAAATGGGCGGAGTGAGTGGTACAGGGAGATATAAGGCTGTTGTGACAAGAATTATTACAGTATTATTGCAGAATTACAATTGTTACTGTTAACTGGTGAATTATTAGGAAATTATTGCTTTTATTGTCGATTATAGAATTATTAAGAAATTATAGTTTTTACTGTCAATTGTAGAATTATTACAAAATTATAGCTTTTACTGTCGATTATTGAATTAGTACTAAATTATAGCTTTTACTGGCAATTACAGAATTATTACAAAATTATAATTTTTACTGTCAATTGTAGAATTAATAAAAAGTTACAGTTCTTACTGTAAATTACAAAATTATTTAAAAATTATAATTTTTACTGTAAATTGCAGAATAGTTAAAATATTGCAATTTAGTTCTGAAACTTTCAAGGTTCAATTCATTAGAATTAGTTCAATTTGTTCCATAATATTGGAGAAAGTAATTTTAGAATTTTTGAAAATTCTGACTGTACAGCAATGTATTTTAATTTCCAAACTCTCCCTCAATTTGAAAATTGTTAAATTTATCCCAATTAGTAAATTTCTAAACCTCCCTCAATTTTTAAATTTCCAAAACTTTCCTCAATTTAAAAATTGTTAAATCTCTCCCAATTATTAAATTTCTAAACCATCCTGAATTTTGGAATCTCCCTCAATTAAAAAATTTTTAACCTCCCTCAATTATTAAATTTCTAAACCATACGCAGTTTTTGAATTTTTAAACCATTCCCAATTATTATGTTTTCAAACCTTCCTCAATGTTTAAATTTCTAAACTTTCCACAATTTAGAAATTTTTAAACCACCCTCAATTACTAAATTTCTAAACCATCCTCAATTTTTGAATTGTTAAACCATCCCCAATTTTCAAATCTCTAACTTTGCAAATCATCGACTTTCTCAATTTTAAAGTTACACAATTTCGAAAC